TGCGCTTCCAAGTGTAACTCCTAGCACGGGTGAGACGGATTGGCTCACCGCACACCGTCGCTTTGGCCACGTGGCGCTACCTCAGTTGCAGCAGCTGTTTAAGGAGGAAAGAGTCAAGGGGCTGAGGATAAAGGGGGAGCCCAAGGAGGTGGGATCTTGTGAGACTTGCTTGACCAGCAAGTTTTCACGGTTTCCCTTCCATTCGGTGGAGGGGAAGTCGAGTGACCCGGTGGAGCTCGTGCATGTGGATCTCGTGGGACCCATGAAGGTGAAGGGAGATGGTGGGGCCCTGTATTCTATGACCATGGTGGATGACAACACAAGGCTCACCTGGTCCTTTCCACTTGCAAAGAAGAGTGATGCTGCAAGGGTCATCATTGAAGAGTGGCTGCCCATGGTGGAGCGAGAGAGCGGCAAGCGGGTGAAGGCGATACGTAGTGACCGTGGTGGGGAGTTCTTGGGAGCGGAGTTCCGGAGCTGGCTGAAGCGGCATGGCATCAAGCAGCAGCTCACCACGGCCTACACCCCTCAATCCAATGGCGTGGCAGAGAGAGCGAACCGGACCATCTTGGAGGGCGGGAGAACGATGTTGGTAGACTCGGGTCTACCCTTACGGTTCTGGCCCCTCGCTATTCGCCATGCCACCGTCATCAAGAACCGAGTATTGACTCATGTGGGAGGGCAGCATTGGGTCCCTATGGAGAAATGGAGGGGCAAGAAGCCTCTGGTGGATATGCTTCGAGTCTTTGGGTGCATGGGACTCGTGCACGTCCCTAAGGAAAAGCGTGACAAGCTTCAAGCGGCGGCGGTGTGGGCTGTTCATTTGGGACTTGCACAAGGGAGCAAGGGGTGGCTCATGTGGGACCCAATAGCCAACACCATCTTCACCACCAGAGATGCCAAGTTCATGGAGGGGCTCATGTTCAAGGAGTGGTTGGAGCGAGGGAGGAGCAAGGTCACCATTCCGCTCGGAATAGAGGTGGGAACGAATGACCCACTCTTCATTCCCATCGAGTTGTCTTCGTCTTCAGAGGTAACGGAGGTGTCACATGACTTGGGAGGTGCTGAAGGGGAGGCAGTAGAGGTGGAGGGAGTGTTGCAGCAAGAGAAGGCCCCTGTAGCTGAGAGAGGTGATGCCGAGGAGGAGGTGCAGCAGCCTACACCATCCCCTACTCTTCCACCAAGGCGGACAACCCAAGGGAAGCGTGGTGCTGTCCGTGGTGGAGCTAAGGAGAGTGCAGCCAAGGAGAGGCCCAAGAGAGCTGCTCACCCAAGGGATTTCCTCAAGTATGAAAGGCTTGGGGGTCCCAAGGCATTGCTGGTCCAGGAGGAGGAAGATGATGAGGAGAAGGGAGCCGAGGGAGAGATGGAGCAGATTTGTTGCTTCGGTGTCAACTTACCTCATGAACCGGCTTCGATGGAGGAAGCACTTGCTGGAGATGATCGAGAGGCTTGGTTGGCTTCAAGGGAGGATGAGTTTAAGAGCCTCATGGAGAATGGAACGTGGACCCTCACCAATCTGCCCCCGGGAAGAAAGGCATTGGATTGCACGTGGATATTACGTGTGAAGACCGATGCGGAGGGGAAGTTGGAGAGGCGCAAAACAAGACTTGTGATCAAGGGTTTCCAGCAGAGGGAGGGGGTTGACTTTAAGGAGGTGTTTGCTCCTGTTGCCAAGGCTCCTACGCTCCGGGTGTTGCTGGCAGCAGCTGCCGTTTGTGGTTGGAAGGTGGAGCAAATGGATGTGAAGACGGCTTTCCTCTATGGCGTGGTAGATGAGGAGATTTACATGAAGCAGCCAGAGGGGTACGACGATGGGAGCGGACGTGTTTGCAGGCTCAACAAGGCCATCTATGGCCTCAAACAAGCTCCAAGGTGCTGGTATGCAAGGCTGGTGGAGGCGTTGGAGGCTCTTGGCTTCAAAGTTAGTGGGTGCGACGAGAGTCTCTTCATAACCGAGGGGGATGAGGAGAAAGTGTTTCTCCTTGTCTACGTCGATGACATTCTCCTCTTCTCTCCATCCCTGGAGAGGATCAAGGAGGTGCAAGGGAAGCTGAAGAAGACCTTTCAATGCAAGGCCCTTGGACCAGTGGGGTATTACCTTGGTCTTCACGTGGAGCGGGACGAGGTGAAGGGATGGTTGAGGCTTCACCAACACAAGTACCTTGCAGCCATGGGGGAGAGGTATGGGCTGGAGGAAGGGAGGAGTGTAAAGACTCCACTACCCTCAGGATTTCAGCTACACCTTGATGAAGAGGAGGGTGAGGTGTTGGAGCCCGAGTTGCAGCGTCGGTTCCAGTCAATGGTGGGGAGCTTGATGTATGCTTCGGTCAACACTCGCCCCGATATTTCATTCGCGGTTTCGCAGCTGGCTCGTGTGGTGTCTAGGCCCCTTCAAGAGCACCTTGATGCAGCAGAGAGGCTGGTGAGGTACTGCATGGCAACCTCAAGGGTGGGGCTGCAATATTCAGTGCATGGGCAGCTGAAGCAAAAGGGAGTGGAGGAGGTGAGCACGAAGACCGGTGCACCTGCAAGGCGTGGACACTTGTACCTCTCGTGCTTCACCGATGCTACCTGGGCAAGTGACATCAGTGATGCAACATCCCACGGTGGCTATGTATGCTGTGTTGGAGGGAGTCCAGTGAGCTGGAAGTCTAAGAAGCAAGGGGAGATAGCTCACTCATCAACGGAGAGCGAGTACATGGCGTTGTTTCATGGGGTGAAGGAGGTGGTTTGGAGGAGGAGGTTGCTTGAGGAGTTGGGGCAGGAGCAAGAGGGTCCTACACCTGTGTTTTGTGACAGCCAAGGAGCAATTGCAATGGCTCGCAATGCTGTGCTCCATGGGCTGAACAAGCACATGCATATCAAATGGCATTGGGTGAGGAAGGAGGTGAAGAAGGGCACGGTCTCCTTGTACTACATCAACACTACCAAGCAACCTGCAGATTTTTTGACGAAGCGGCTTGCAGAGCATCAGCATTGGACCTGCGCCACCTTGTGTGGCATGTCCTTCAACTAGGGGAGGCAGCTTCAGGGAGCAGCTAAGGGATGAATGAGAGCACGATGAGGGGGAGTTTGTTGTGCCAACACATTACAGTGGCACGGTCATCGCACTCCCATTCGGCCTACAAGCCTGCTCAGCTTCTGGAATTTTGTGGGGAGGTTGTTCAACACGTTTTCTTCAAACCCTCAAAGTTTCAGAGTTTTTGAAGCAGTTACCAAGGCATGACAACATTTTATGTTTCAAGACTTATGGCATCCCGGAAGTGTGTGTTACTCCTTTTTGGTAACACCCGAGTTCACCATTTCGGCTGCTGACTCGTCTACCGAGATCTGATTGGTCTGAAATTCGGTCTGGCAGTCCTTTGCCCCGCTGTGCAAGTGGTCACCAAGTTTCAGAACGATCCAACATCTGAGCATTGCGTGACAGCTGCCGAAATTCACTGTTCCGTAGTCATGGTGCACTGTTGGCAGCATTTCCCTTGCCACCCTTTCATTGTTGTCATGCCAATGGTGCAGGGACAGAGAATGAGACAAGAAGTACAGGTGGTCAAGTGGGACTCTATAACCCTCCTTTTGAGAAGTGTGGTCTTCCTGGAAGCAACTTGCAAGAGGGTGCAAGTGGGAAGACAAGCTGACTCATGTTGGCTTGACTCACTATTGGTAGCCTTGAGTACAGCTCTGAACATCCAAGTGTGGTTGGCTTTGCTGACCTAGCTAGGACGTTTCCCATTCTTCTCTAGCCTTTCTCCCCTAGGACTCAACCTTCTCTGAGTTCCCAGGATGACCCAACCCCTTATGAGTCCCCTAGGCAATGTTGTACTCACCTCTTCCTTGCATCAATGAGAATACACGTTTTTTCAGCCGAGCTTACGTTTTCGTTCACTGCGTAGTGCACACACCTCTGATAATAGCAAGTAATATACCGTTGGAAAGCAGACACCTAAGGCTAACCGCTGTCCAAGTTTCAGCCTCGTATGTTCTCGGAGCTGATCGTGACGGCGTTTTGAACAGAGGCGGTTTGAAGACGTCAGATTCTGCCTAGGCGGTTTCATGGGCATCCGCGACCCCTAAGTGGACTGCAGACTATAACAGGCAAGGGCGACGGGGCCGCGACGTGAGGGCGGCGGGGCCGCGACTTAAGGGCGGCGGGGCCGCGTAGGTGAGGGCGGCGGGGCCGCGACGTGAGGGCGGCTGGGCCGCGACGTAAGGGCGGCGGGCTCGCGTAGGTAAGGGCGGCGCAACGGGCCGCTAGGGGCGACACGGAGGGTCGCTAAAAAAAGGAAAGCGCGCCTCGGGGCGCGCTTCGGTGGGCCCTAGAAACAGTCCCTAGGAGGGGACCTGCTCTGATTCCATGTGGGGAGGAGAACGCGAATGGATGAACTATGAATGAAGTGAGTACATATAGGAAACCCTAATTGGGTTGTACCCCCTATGGGATACCCCACTATAGCCTACACAACAGCATAAGCTATATAATGTTCTGACACTTACGATCAGTGTTGCACATGTTCAAAACCCTGATTATCAGTGTGACCCCTTGTGGGAAAACTGATTCATCAGGGTTTCTGCTTAGTTTGAATATTCAACCCTGAGGCATCAGTGTACAATGTTCTCGAACATTATTGTCATTAACAAAGCACAAAATAAGAAATTTACAGTTTTGACAGTTGGCAATCGGGAAGCCCGGGTTACGGGGTAGGGGGGTTACGGGAAGGGGGGGGGGGAGAGGGGGGGGGGGGGGGGGGGGGGGGGGAGGGGGTAGCTGGTACTCGCTTCAGGGTAAAACTCGCTAAGAGGATCGGCAACACTGAGGCGACAGTGTGCCTTATTCGTAAACCCTGGCACATCAGGGAAAATCAAGGTCCCAAAAAAATTACCCTACGGCATCAGTGTTACACCCAAAAACCACCCTGATAATCAAGGTATCAGGGTGATTTACCCTGATAAAATAGGGCCTACTTTAAACTACAAAGCACGAGCACAAAATGGAGCCGCTCTCACAGCCTGCCGAGCTCTTGTAAAAAAACGTGCACTGGAGCCGCTTGACCTAAGGGAAGCTGAGGGCCATGTGAGGAGGCCTGGACGTGACCAAACAGATGTCAAGAGGTTACAGGTACAGTGACCTCTCAGCACCGTGCGCGACTCGGGCCATGTACAGTTCTTTGCATGAACCCCTGCGCGAGGTTGGCATTGCTGTCATCGAAGTTGCCTCAGTTGGCCCATTGGAATTTGCCATGTGGCAGATTCTAGTGGGGGGTGCAGTTATCCTCCAGGACTCGGTTTTGCGCACGCGTTCAACAATCTAAGAGTGAGGACATAATACACTTTTTGTTTCCTTTAATTCCTGCTTTGAAAAAAATGTGCTATACTAGACCCAGGTGCCATTATGTAGCCTTTTCCTATGAACACCCCCCTTTTTTCCCCTGTATTTTTAAATCTACCCTAGTGTGTTATGTCGGGGAGAATACGGTATGCACACTAGTAATCCTGCACACTTCTATAAATAAATTCAAGCTCCTCATCCAACTGCTTACAATCTAGTGAAACTTGTTGAACTTTTGCATCTAACTGCCTGGCTACTCTCTCCTGTGTTCCACCCATGAGCTCCCTGCGCAGAGTTTCAAGCTGAGCTAGCACATGGCTCATACTGGGTCGGTTTGATATGAGCTTGGCAACACATGAGAGAGAGATAGCAACTAGATTGGAGGCCATGGCATGTGGTGCATTGAGATCCCCATTGACAACAGATGCACTGTCCCCTCTCGCCACCTCCTGCTCCACCTGTAAGAATTAGGAGGAAGAGAAAGGAGGAGGTTGAGAGAAGGTGTTGGAAGGAGGGGGTGAGAGGACATGCAAGAGGAAGAGGAACAGGACAAGGAGGGAAGTGAGGGAGGAATAGAAGGAGGAAGAGAGATGGAGTGAGTGAGAGGGGATATGGTAGGGTTTTCACAAAACAAATAACTGTGACAGAGAAATCTCCAACATACGGAAAGTCAGACAAGAGGGATAGATAATTGGAAGGAAGAAAGAAGCAGCAGCATACCCAGTCCTTGATGTTGATTTGTGACCCATCTTCACAAAGCAGCACAACATGCTTGCAGGTCAGTAGCTCCATCATGACCACTCCAAAGCTGGGGAGAGAGAGAGAAAGAGGGAGGGAGGGAGGGAGGGAGGGAGGGAAGGGGGGAGGGGGGGAGGTCGGAACGCAAAAAGAAAATCCTCAAAATAAGAGAGCATGTGCAGGACAAGTCGGACGAGTGATTCTTGGTGAGAAGCCATGTGCAACGAAGATACTATAGTGAAAAGCGAGCACCTGAGTGAGACGAGAGATGAGGGCATCGTACTTGGGCAGAGAGCATAGGTGGGCATGTGTGCGCACACGCCTTCCCACCTGTACACGTCAGCACTTGGAGTGGCCATGTGAGTGAGTGAATAGACGGGGTCCACATAGCCCGGTGTGCCCATCACTCGTGTGGATTGCAGTGAACCACTGCCCTCACCCATTCTCAGCAAACCAAAGTCTGACACTTTCGCCTGCAAAATGGAAAAGAGAGCACAATTTTCCGCCTGAAACAATGACAAAGAGTCAAAGTGTTCCTGATGGAACTCGCGTGCATGCTGGCTTCAGTGCCCCATTACAGTGTCCCATCAGTGCATGCACTCGCCTGCATGTTGGCTTCTCATAAGATGCCCATCAGTGCACACACTCGCCTGCATGTGGGCGTCCAGCAGGATGTTAGCGGGCTTGATGTCGCGATGCACGATGCCAAAGCTGTGCAGATACTCCAGCGCGCGCGCCACTCCTATCAGAATGTCCAGCCGCTGCTGCAGGGTCAGGGGGTTGCTAATACCTGACGAAGAAAGAAAGAAAGAAAAAAAAAGCAGTAGAAAGGAATCAGATGAAAAGAGCAGGAGCAGAAAGAGGACGAGCAGGCAAGAGCAGCAAGAGGAGAAGCAAGACATGGTGGCCACCTGTGTCATGGGCGTGCATGTGGTGGTAGAGGTCCCCATTAGGCATGAACTCATAGATGGCGATCTGCTCCATGCGCTCCGATGCAGCGTCATAGTCCATGCAGAACCCCAACAGCCGCACCAGGTTCGGATGGTGCTTCGATGCCATCTCGTTGATCTGATGCCATTCGAATGGAACGAGGGAGGGACAGAGTGACAGGGTAGGATTGAAGGACAGGTTGAGGAGGGTGGGTAGGGGGGGGGGGGAGGATACGGTAGCATAGAGGGGGATAGACCCGCAGGGGCAAAACACAGTGTCAGATCAATAGCTCATGCTTCCTGCATTTCGCTCCATTCATTGCTCATCTCGGCTACCACTTACGTGCATCTTGGCCTCTCTTTGGAGCCATTGGTCTGTGACGTCGTTGCTGCTGGGCATGCTGCGCCCCGCCCCTCCTCTCACCCCCATGCCATCACCATCAACCCCCACAGTCACAACAGGCACACCTCGCGGCGGAAGTCGTTGGTGAGCACTCGGGCGCGCTTCACAGCCCAGGGCGTGCACCCGTCAAAAGGGCTCACCCCGCGATACACGTCGCCAAACCCGCCGCTGCCAATGCGCCTCTCTGCCGCCCATCCCGCCGTGGCACGCAGCACGTCCGCCATGCCCACCTGCTGGCACAGCAGCGGCGCCAGAGGGAGGGCGGACGAGGAGGAGGGGGCGGCCACAGGAGGAGGAGAAGGAGGAAGCTGCGAAGGGGGAGTGGAAGGATTAGGAGATGTGGAGAGAGGGTCAGCGTGGGAAGGATTGGCCCAAGAGTCCAAATGCTCATTTCCACTATGGCCTGCCACTGCACCCCCCTCTCCCTGTAATTCCCCTTCTTGCCTCTCCACCTCTTTCTCCATCTGCCTCAATGCTGTTGCCACGTCATCCCGCACAATCTCCAGCTCAGCAATAACTCTTCCCAGGGAGGGCCGGGTGGAAGAAGGCATGGCTGTGCATGCGAGTCCCACACGAGCCAGGCGCACCAGACTGGGAATAAGAGCATTCGGTATGGGAACACCCAGTGCATCAGCTGCTGTGCCTGCAGTGCTGACGGTGCTAGAGAGAGTGCTGGGGCTGCTGGTGGGGCTGCTGCTCGGGATGCTGGCGCTGGTGTTGGTGGTGGGTGGACGGAAGGAGGAGGCGAGGGCGGGATCAAATAGAGAAGCCAGGTTGTTGGCTTCAAGCTGAGTCTCATCATGGTGTGGTGTGGGGTGAAATGCAGGGGGGGGAAGTCAGATGCAGACTTTAGACCTGAAGCATGAACCCCAAGATTAGAAACACGGAAGCAGGTTGGAGGAGATCCTGAGAACAGAACGGAAGGAAGATCCTGAGAAGTCTCCGGACCAGAACCCCACTTGAATGACTGCCGGCGATGGAGGTACTGCGTTGCTGGTATGCCTCTCAGGACGCGGACACTCAAACGGACCAATCGTGTGGAGAATCGAATTTTGACGTCAGTGACCATCGACTGAATTCGACAACCACCAGTAACCCTAATTTCATGTCTGACAAGAAGAAACAGTGTACCCATGAAGGCATAAACCCAATTCGAGTGTCCCCGTCCTCAGGACGAACTCGCCTCGCTACCCCCCCAATGCTCCACTCGCACTCACAGTGTCACTAAAAAATTGTGGCATGGCCTTTCCTGAAGCGTCGGAAATGCGGCCTGACAGCAGCTGCAGCAGCAACACTCCCAGACTGGTGGCGACGGGCATGGGATGGGTGGGAGGAAGGGGAAGGGCAGGACGAAAGGGGAGGAAGGGAGCCGCATGCAGGGGCGAAGGGAGGGATGGAGAAGGAATGAGGGTGGGAGGGGCAGCACAGACTCTCGAAGAGTTGAGAATAGAGCATGGCACTGGGAGCAACAAACTAACCAGCCTCCCCGTGCGTGCACTCGGCATGAGAGAATCAAAGGAGAGAGTTGAGAAAGATTGGGTTGGAACCTGTAGAGGTCATTAGTGGGTGTGTGCTCCTGGGAGAGCAGCAGCTGCGGATCCACGTACCCACGCACGCCCACCACTGCATGCTCGCCACCCCCTGCAGCCCCGCGCGTCACATAGTCAAACCCTGCAATCTTCGCCTGCCATGGCGTTTTATGGGACAAGGGTGGTACAGTGACGTGCGGGATGGCCTCATGTTGCGTGGCCGGGCAGGAGGGGGGGGGTAGAGGGAGACAGAGAATTGCTTGGTACAGCATCAGAATAATGGCGCAGGGGGTAACCCAGTGGTCCTATATGGATCTTGCTCTGCTCCACAACACGACATGAGTGTGCAGCATGTTTGCGAGTCGTGTGATAACGTGTGGAGGATGGTGGCCTCACAGCACACACACTCACCTGCATGCTGCCATCCAGAAAAACGCTTCTAAGGCAAAGGCAGCGATGCAAGATGCCAAAGCTGTGCAGATACTCCAACCCGTGCGCCACTCCTATGAGAATGCCCAGCCGCTGCTGCAGGGTCAAAGGCACGCCGCTGCAACCTGCAAGGGCAAGAGAAAGAATACACTGTAGGGTAGAAATCATGGACCAACGTAACGGAATAAAACGCATGCGATGGACAGATGTCATGCAAGCAGACACAGTAGGGCCAAACGCACAAAAGGAGTACACGCAGCGAGGACCAGAGCGGGGGAAAGGAAGAACAGGCAAGCACCTGCATATTTGGATGGAATTGGCATGGGCACCTACTGTGATTACTGGGACGTGGACTCAGTGAGAACGAGAGGTGTGTGTGTGATGCGGCACCGGTTGAAACTGGTCGAGCAGGCTGCCAGCAGGCATGGATTCATACACCACGACCTTCTCCCAGCGGCCCTGCTTGTCTTGCTCGTCGCAGTACCCCAGCAGGCGCACCAGGTTGGGGTGGTTCTTGTTGCCCATCTCCGTCACCTGCTTGCCCCTTGATGGCGCGCACGCCAGGGGGAGGGGGCGGGGAAGGCACGCCAGGGGGCGGGGGGGGGGGGGAGGAGGCACGCCAGGGGGAGGGGGGGGGGGGGAGGCACGCCAGGGGGAGGGGGCGGGGAAGGCACGCCAGGGGGAGGGGGGAGGGGGGAGGGGGGAGGGGGGAGGGGGGAGGGGGGAGGGGAAGGCACGCCAGGGGGAGGGGGCGGGGAAGGCACGCCAGGGGGTGGAGGGCGGAGAAGGAAGGGTGGAGGGCGGAGAAGGAAGGGTGGGGGACGGGTGGGATGGGAGGGAGAGGGTAAGACGAGGGGAGGAAGCAGTTCTTCACACGTGTACTTTCCTCCTTCGCCTGCATCGGCTCCACAGACTGGGCTGGTAATGTGGCAGTATGACAGTATCAGACGGGCTTCCAGTGGGGCACGAGGCGACAATGCAGAGCTGATTCCCATGGGAAATGTGTGAGCGCGTGGGTTCTGTGGGTGAACCAGCACAATCCAATAACTATAATTCTGAGCGGCCCAGTTGAGGAGGTTGCAGGATCTCAGCCCTTCACTTTCATTCTCTCTCCTCCCTTCACCTCTGCCTGTTGCACCTTCCCCCTCTCCTCCCCATCATCTCTCCTCTCTCCGATCTCCAGCACCACACTCTTCTATCGTCCCCTTTCCCCAACACCCCCACCACTCCCCCCCCCCCCCCCTCCTCTCCTCATCCCCCCCTCGCACCTCCGCGTGGAACTCGTCGAACTCGCGCGCGCGGCAGCGCTTGAGGAGCCACGGGGTGGCGCCGTCGCGCGGGTCCACGCCCCTGAACATGAGGCGGTACCCGTCGCCCACCAGCAACTGCGGTGCCCAGCGGTTCGTCGCGGTTAACATGTCCGCCAGGGAAAACCGCACGCAGGCGCCCTGGATGGGGGCGGCTGAGGGGAAGGGGGGGGGAGGAGGGGAAAGGGTGGGGGGTGTTAAGGAACAAGGCGATTCTGGGGAGAAAGAGGGGGAGGAGCAGCGTTGGAGGCAGAGAGACTTGAGAGCAAGATACACAATGAGGAGGAAATACAGAAGCCGGAAAGAGCGGAACGAGCCGACAAATTGCGGGCGACGAGGGCGTGCGGAAGGCGCGCGAATCGCCGGAGACATTCGCGAAGTTTCGAGGCGTCGCGAAAAAAGGATGTCTTGGCATCGCTAGGCGTTGAGCAAAGTACTGAACTGCAGTTCTCGGTAAGAATGTCTTGCCTCTCGCTGTGTCCGCACGCTTGGCCTTGTCCGACTTGCCAAGCATCTTCCGCATCTTCGTCCACGTCAGTACACCACCACTCGCTGCGAACCACGTCGGAGTAAAGGCCGCGCTGATCGTGCCACGTCACACATACGTGACCAATTTGAGTCTTCACATCCTGAATTTCAGCATAAAGTACGGAACTTTTACGTGCACGTCAGTACTTCTATCAGGAGTTGAAAACCTCATCGCTTTTCTTCCCTCGCGCTGCCCGCATACTAAAACCTCATCATTGTGCATCTGCCGAACATCTGGTTCTTAACGACGTCGCAAGTAGCGGGCTGAGATAACGTACAACCTAATCACTCGTACGACCTAATTATGGAATTCAGACATCGATAAGGGAAGAGAAAATATGTTACGAGTTGTAAGAAGAGTAGCGCAGAATGCAATATCTCAAGTGATTACAACTCCTCACCAATAACGAGACCTAGAACAGATATAGCGAAGGCTGGAAGGTCTAGGTCGCGGGACAGAGCGCTGGTTTGGGTTTGGGAAACACCGGCAACACCGCGTATAGCAGCAGCCGTTGTTCGCCCGTTACTACTAACGGGCTTCGTCGACTTCGCGCGCACTGTTTTACCAAACCTCGCACTGCTGGACCGGCCGTGTCGGCCTACGCTTCGGGACTAGCCCGAGCCTCGCTTCCAGCGTAGCACTAGCTAGCTCGCACGCACCGCGTTACCGTTTGCATGTTTCGCGTATAAATGTTCGCTCATGCCTTCGCTCACATTTTGTACTCGTTTGACACCTTAGTGCAATTCTCGCTACTTCGATTCATTGCACCCGTAACACTTGGTTACCAGAGCCTCTTTCTTGTTGGGAACAAACAATCTTAAGCGCCTCTGTCGTGTCGAAACACCAAGGCACAAGCGAAGCAGAGCATATCGAGGCACCAGCGAGTCAACCCTCGGAGGTTGAAGTAACCGCTGGAGGTTACGCGAAAGTCAAAGGTCAGCGACCTTTGACTTGACAAATGCAGCGCGACAGCAAGGACACACAACTGACTCGACATTGAGCAGTTGCCCGAGTCGCACTGTATCGAACCGCAACAGTAAAACAGTTTAATTATATCTCTTCGTATTCTTTGTACTCTTATATAAACCTTTGTACTTGCTTGTTTTAATCAACTTACTTTGCCCTCACATACCAGCGCAAGGTGGTTCAAGGACTTCATATAAACGCTTCCGCTACTACATCACTCTACCCAGAGTTTAACCCTACCAAAGATCCTAAGGGGCACTCAGCCCAACATGGTATGAGAGCTGGTTAGGGTTAAAATTATTTCTCCTTAACACCTAATACACCAAGAGGCATGTCTACCAGAAAGGAGAGGAGCTCCTCCAACGGCTCTCCTGGTACTACTCCTACTCCACCTCCTGCCTCTGGCCTACAGACAGAGGAAGGCACAACAACGAGACCGGCAGCTGGGTCTACTGAAACACCCGCAAACCAAGGCGCGGGCTTCGATCCAAGCATGATGGAGAAGTTCTTCTCCTTCATGTCCTTCTACGAGCAGCATCAGCAAGGAGCACCTGCGCAATCAAACAACAGCAACAACAACAACAACACGCCCATGAGTCTCGATGGCTCATCCTACGCACGCGGGAATCAACAACAGCAACCTACCTTCGCTCCGTACGAGCCCCAGCGCGGCTCCGTCAGCTTCATGCCACAACCACAACCTGCACCGGGACAAGAGAGAACGCTGGACGCACTACAAGTTCAGTCGCAGTTCGCGCACGTTCTAAAACTGCAAACGACAAAACCCTTCGACGGGAAGGATTTCTTTACCTGGTCGTTCGAATTCGAGCTGATGATGGAAGGAGCGCAAATCCTTGGCTTCTTCGACGGGTCCCTGCCATACCCAACAAACGGCACACAGTATGAGAAGCAGCAGTACACCTATCAATCGATGATGGCGTACACGATACTACTGAGGAACATCACTCCAACTCAACAACAAAACATACGGTCTTACCGAGGCTACGGCAACTCCGCGGAGCTCGCGTACAATCACTTGAAGAGCCTGTATCAAGCAACAGACAGCGTAAACCAAAGTCGGTTAATGGCGCAACTGACAACAATCGAAATGAAACCAGGCGAGAAGGGAATGGCGTATATCAGTCGCTGCCGCGAGCTGCGCGACAAGCTTCTTCGATGTGGAGGATCGATTTCAGAGGACGCCTTCGTCACGGTTGTCATCGGCGGTCTTGGTCCTCACTGGCGCTCCACTCGCGCCATACTACGAGCCCACGGGAAAATTTCTGAAGCAGCACTTTGCGCCGAAATCCACGCCGAGCAGCAAGACATGGACCTGCAAGAAGAACGACACAAGAGAAAGGTATCAGTGCCCGAATTCGCGTTTCACACTCAACGGCGCCACAACAACAACAACAATCGACCGAAAATCGTACCTCCGTTCTGCCACCTCTGCAAGACTTCAGGGCATCCTCGTACGCACTGCCCGAATCGACAACAGTCAACGTCGCCGCAACGCCAACTTCGCCCTTCAAGCAGTCAAGTCGCCTCAACGCAAGCAAATCCGACAACTTCAGTATAAGTCTCAACAACATCGACGGGACAACCTGCGAAAGGAACAAGAAACATCGTCAGCTGCATGGCAAGGCTGAGTGACTCCTGCGTAACTGAGTCACCACCATATTACTCACCAGAAGAACAACTCGACAACAGCACGCCTCGCCGCGAGTCACTTCAACCGAACCCGACGTACGCCGCCATCGCTCAAAGCGAGCCGTCCGGGAAGGATACATGGTTCTTGGACAGTTGCTTCGGACAACATATGTGCTCTTCAGGACGTTTCGTTCAACGCGAGCACCAACTTCAACGAGAAGTCGTCATCACTGTCGCCAAGAATCAGAACCTGCGCACACGACGACAAGGAGTAGTGCAACTTCAGTCACGAGAGACGAATGTCATACTGCAAATGTCCAAAGTCCTAATAGCAGAAGGACTTGGCTACAACTTACTGAGCGTCAGTCAGTTGATGGCGAAAGGCATACATCTGGAAGCCGACAGTACCACCCAGGAGTTCAAGCTGTACCACGGGAAGGGCGGCCTCTAGATCGGAGAGGCGGTCCTGTAGAACAATGTCTTCGTTCTCGATTTCGTCCCAGACCTGGGCACCGCAGACAGTGACGGGATCGTCACCTTCACATCTTGGACGCACCCGCCGGATCTCGACCCCGACTTCAGTCCGGAAGGCTTTTGGTATTCACATACCATTCCTGAAGCAGAACGAACACGTGCGTTAGTAACAATACAACATTCGGCAGCAGCAGAGACAACATCGGCAGCAACAGAGACAACATCGGCAGCAGCAGAGACAACATCGGCAGCAGCAGAGACAACATCGGCAGCAGCAGAGACAACATCGGCAGCAGCAGAGACATCATCGGCAGCAGCAGAGACATCATCGGCAGTAGCAGGAACAACAACAGTAGCAGCAACAACGACACCACTCCTCGTTGACGAAGCACCACCAACACCCGCACAGCAGCTGAATCCGGCTCAACGAGAAGTCCATAGAAGCGCAAACTTCACCGCCAGCTTCTACTCCAACTCCGACGCGTATCGACGCTCACCCGGACACCGCGCCTCCGAAGACATCTGGCACGCACGCATGGGACACCCAAGCAACACTATGTTAAACAACACAATAAGAGCAAGACTCCTTGACAAGGACTCGTTACTACTACTCGACGGCAGAGAACTTCAACGGGCACGAGGAACATGTCTTACCTGCCCCGAAGCCGACTTACCACATCGGCCGTTCACTCCTCATCACAACCCGAGCACACCCGCGTACGCACCACTCGAAAAGGTGTATAGCGACATCCTGTACAATCGGGAACCAGGACAAGTAATATACAACTACACAATCACCTTCATCGACGCCGCCACCCGTTACGTCTGGCATCTAAACCTACCCAGCCGCGACATGGTCCTCGAAGCATTCGCTGCTTGGCTACCAGTAGCAGAAAGAGAGTCGGGCGTAAAGCTGAAAAGCTTCCAGTCTGACGGAGGAGGAGAATACACCTCTCAGCGATTCAAGCAGTACCTGGCGGAAAGGGGAATCAAGCAGCTCCTCTCTCTTCCCTACGCCCATCAGCAGCAAGGTGTAGCAGAAAGAATGAACAGGACTCTGCAGAACAGCATGCGCAAACTGTTGCGTGGCATGCGGCTACCCAACCACCAGTGGCCTGACGCGATGGACCACGCTGTCATGCTGCACTACTTGCTCTCATCTTCATCACTACCGAACAACGCATCACCGCATCTGCTGTGGACAGGAAAACAGGGCAGCACAAAAATGTTACGAGTGTTCGGATGCATGGTACAGTACCGACCCCCAGCAGCACGAGCGGGCCGATTTTCACAACGCGCACAGTGGGGACTACACCTCGGCATCGAAAAGAACTACAACGCGTGGAAAATCTTTGACGTCCACTCCAAGGAAACAGTAGCAGCACGCGACGTCATTTTCTACGAACGACTCACGCTCCAGACATACCTTGCCAACCTGCAAGAGGACCAAGATCCCACAGGTGGTTTTCGTGGTGACCGAGCCTTCGCCTCGGCAGCAGACGAAGCTGACTGGGACGAGCAGAATGTGGCCAACGCATCAGAAGAAGCTGGACCCCTTCCGTTCTGCTCCGTCGACGTCCTCATGGACGAAGATAACCCTCGCGAAAGTGTCAACGCCGAAACCTTCTACTACTTCGCCGACAACGGTTACGTAACACCTGCGACAGTCAACACCAACGAAGCAGAACGAGTAGGACCAAATTTCATACCTGATCCAGAAGCGGGAGATGAAGCAGCTTATCCCGAGGATGCA